GCACCTGCATATTCCGGTAGTCGAGGCCAAGGCCCAGGTCGGAGACCTCCTCTCGATACCGCTTGCCGCATGCCGCCTCTAGAGCCTCCACCGTCATCAGCGTCATACGAACCACATCTGTTGAGGAAGAAGCTGCCGTGGCCTGCTGCTTGGTTACGGGCTCCTCCCAGTCGACCGCGGCAGGCCGTTTGGCCACGCGGGCAGATCCGGCGGCGGCTGGCCGTTTCAATACCCCGCCTGCGACCCGCGCCGCCGGGCGCTTCAATACACGCCTGGTGACGGCCTGGGCGGATGAAGCCGTCGCCTGCACTGAAGAGCTCACCGACGCATACGCATCGCACCACTGTCTCAACACTCCTCGGGACACCAAGACAGCTTTCCGTCGCATACGCAACACGGTATGCAAGGTGTGGTACTTCAGCCCTGGATATACCGCGCGCATGTGGTCACCAAGTGCCGCGTCGAGCTTGTCAGCCGTGTCATACTGCAAAGGTCCGGAGTCAGGGTGATACTTCACGTACCATTGCCTCAAAACCATACCGCTGACAGCGACGGGAGGGTCGCTCTCCGAGAGCATCTGCGAGAGGACCTCCGCGGCGGCCTCGTCGGCAAAGCTCTCCCGATACTGATTGAGTCGAAGACGCAGGCCTATACATTCCTCCACAGCTTGGGCAGTATTCAATGCTCCCTTGGCGCCCCAGTCCGTGCTGAGCCACTTCTGACATACCCTGGCGTCAGCAGATACAGATAAATGTCCCAGGAGCCACTGCTTCAAGACGGCCCCGTCAGTTGTCCCCTCGGGCATGTCTGTGCGAATACGTTCTCCATGCCAGGTCTCCAGATGGCCAGCGTTCTGCACTTTGACAAGCGTCTCTTTGGAAGAATACTGCAGTAACCACGTCGTTGCGACCTTATTTGACACATACAGTGGTGGATCCAACTGTCGGAGCGCCCCGCATAATTTAAAAGCTGTATTATACTCGATGCCCAGGTGGCGGATGGCAGAGCCGTGGTGCTCCTCCAGCTCCGTGGCGCTAGATATACTGACCGTGCCAGGCACAACCCGATACTTGCACCACCAAAGCTTGCACGCCTGGTGACTGACCTGGATACCCTTTGCAACGAGCGCCTGATGCAAATAATACGGGCTGCCGCAGTCAGCCAAGGGAGGCCGCGACAGCTCTGGGCCATACTGGTCGTCAAGGGCTTTCGCCGACAAAGCCATGACCCATCCAAGAACACAGGCGATTCCTTGATCCGAGATGGCTACGGATGTGACAGTGATCAGTCGGAGGCTTCCTGGGGCCGCTTGGGGTCCTCTTGGGGTAGGGGGGAAGCCTCCTGGAGCCGCTTGGGGTCCTCTTGAGCTTTGGGGGGCTTCTTGGAAGCATCTTGGGGCCTCTTGGGGGCTTATTGGGTCCTCACGGCGGGCTCTTGGGGCCTCTTGAAGGCCTCCTGGGGCAACCTATGGCGCAACCAGTCGGGAGCGTTTTATTCTCGGCGGCCGAGGGCGCAACCTATGGCGCAACCAATAGGAGGGCGTTTTATTCTCGGCGGCCGAGGGCGCAACCTATTGCGCAACCGCAAGGGATTATGGATGTATGTATGGGGGGGGGGAGGGGGGGGCAGGGGTGTGGGGGGGATGGGTGGGGTGGTGGGGGGGAGGTATGGGGGCTGGGGGGGTGTGTGGTTGGGGGGGGGGGGGGGGGAATGGGGTATGGGGAATGGGGTATGGGGGTGGGGATGAGGCACAATGGGGTATGGTGGATGGGTTATGGGGAGGTATGGGGTGTGTATGGTTATGTTTTTAAAAATGGTGGGGTGATGTGGGTGGGGGGGGATGGATGATGATGGTGGGGGATTATGGGATGGGGGTGGGGGGGGCACCCTGGCAGGCGCGCGAACCCCGTTGTAAGAGCGTGCGAAAGTAGCTCGCTCGAGCTCATGTAACATAAATGTTGGAAAACCATTGGTTTTTTTAGGATTCGGACAGCGCGCGCGGGTGGAAATTTTGAAAAGTCGTGCAGCTGTTTTTCGAGGACCTACGGTGCGATTCGTGTGATTTTATGATGCGCGGTGCTAAAATTCTTAAGAAGCCCAATGGTTTTTGGAGATTTCGGCGTGCGCGCGCGAAGAAAAAACGAATGTGTCCCGCATGGTATTATTTGACAGGGATGATGCCCTGGCAGGTGCGCAACCGTTGTCGCAGAAGTTCGAAAAAGTTGCTCGCAAAAGCCCGTTTGACAGAAATGTTTAAAAAGTGTTGGTTTTCCTACGAATCCGCAAGAGCGCGCGGGATGAGATTTTGACATTTTTTTGTTGAAAACCATTGGTTTTTTGATGTTTTTATGTTAAAATCGCTCCGAACACTAAGCTTTTGGAAGGATTTCGTCTTGCGCGCGCGAATGTTCACTTTACCTTATTTTTTGCAAGGGATTCTTGAAATTTGATTATATTAGAACAAGAAATGTCATTTTATAGTGTTTTTTGCAAGGGAAAGCGGGGGGAACAAAACAACCGGATCTGGATCACATCGTTTTACCTGAGGCTTCCTCACGAAAATGATGAAAATGTAGCTGCGGCCTAGGCGGCGCAGGGGGGGCGTGCACCAGGGGGCCCAACAATAATTATTCTTTAGAAGTAATTATAATGTTTCAACACAATATTTAAATTCGTAAAGGGCTTTCAGAACACTGCCGCCGGCCCCCTGTCTCGGATAATGGGAGATGCAAAGCTAAATCATGAGGTCTGGGCGCCGCCGTGAAGCAGTGTCGGGACCTGTTTGTTTTTCGACCCTGACCCTACGGATCTGCGTGAGGGGTGCCGCCAATTTCAGAAATGTAGCAAATCCCGTGTGTTTTCGGACCCCGACCCTACGAATCTGCGTGAGGGGTGCCATCGAATTTCAGCATTGTGGTACATCCCGTATGTTTTTGGACCCTGACACTGCCGATCTGCGTAGGGGACGCCACCGAATTTCAGAAATGTGGCACATCCCGTATGGTTTTGGACCCTGACCCCGCCGACCTGCGTGAGGGGCCCGAATTTTAGAAACGTGGCAAATCCTTTGTGTTTTTACACCCTGACCCCGCCGATCTGCGTGAGGGGTGCCACCGAATGTCAGAAATGTGGCAAATCCAATGTGTCCTCCACCATCCGTCCTCGGTGCGGTCGGGATGGCCTTTGTCGTGCACTCGACGCTGCCCTTTGCCCGCCAGCCAGTCGAACCGCTGGCGTCGCAGAACTCCCCGAAGAGTCCGACCAAGCCTCTCTCGAGGATGCTCGCTTACTGGAAGGGTCGAGACAGAGAAGTGGACCCTGACCCGCCGATCTGCGTGAGGGGTGCAAGCAAATTTGAGAAATATGGCAAATCCCATGTGTTTTTGGACCCTGACCCCGCCGATTTGTGTGAGGGGTCCCACCGAATTTCACACATGTGGCAAATCCCATGTGTTTTTGGACCCTGACCCTGCGGATCTGCGTGAGGGGTGCCACCGAATTTCAGAAATATCGCACATCCCGTATGTTTTTGGACCCTGACCCCGCCGATCTGCGTGAGCGGTGTCAATTTTTACTTACCCCAGCAATTCAGAGAAAACGTTTTGGGCGTGGTAAAAATGCCCGTTTTGGGCCTCCCCCCCTCGCGCGGTCCATCAACAAGGAACCGCAATCAGCAAGAAGTCAACAAGGAACAGTAAGCAGCAAGAAGCAGAACTTCAGCAGTGAAAAACTGGAAGCTGCAACTGGTACAGGAAACTGCGAGCCTTAGCCCTACAGCCCGGTGGCCCCACAAGGGGGCTGGCGGATATTGTTCGCGCTTATGTGCTCGAGAGTCATTCAGCGTGCTTGTCCCGAACCCTCAATACCCGCCCTCTTCGTGTTTGATCATATTATTTTTGGTGGGTAGACGTTTCTTCGTGAGTTCTGCGTGATTAGCCAGGAAGTTTCCAGCGAGAGGGCGATTCCTAAGTAAGTTCGAAGAAGTCCCCAGCGAACGCGCGATTCCTGAATGGCAAGGGCGCGGCGCCTGAGCAAATTGCGAGGACGTCTCAGGCGGAAGCGCGATTCCCGGGTAAATTGCGAGGAAGTCTCAAGCGGGAGCGGGGGACTGGACTAAATTTCGAGGAAGTATCAAGCGGGAGCCGTTGTTGTTGTTGTTGTTGTTGTCGTTGTTGCTGCTGATGTTGCTGCTGTTGTTGTTGTTGCTGTTGCTGTTGTTGTTGTTGTTGCTGTTGTTGTTGTTGTTGTTGTTGTTGTTGTTGTTGCTGCTGTTGTTGTTGTTGTTGCTATTGTTTGTTTGTGTTGTTGTTGCTGTTGTTGTTGTTTATGTTGCTGTGCTGTTGTTGTAAACCAGAGGCCAGGGGCACTGTTTGAGGAGGAATCTTTTCCCTTATAAAAACAGGGTGCGAGCGCCGGGAGGGACATTTCAATTGAACAAACACAATGTGCATTGGATGGGGGGATCAGCAATAATTGTTATTCAGTAGTGAGAGTTCAAGAAAAGAGCAAAAACAACAACATCAACAACAACAATCATTTTAAGACGGGTCGCCCTTATCTGCTCGAGTGTCCAATAACGCATATTTCCCAAACCCTCGATACCCACCCTCTTCGTCTTCGATCGAGTCCCTTTTGGGGGGTATACCTTTCTTCCCTGCAGGCCGGGCCCCGGCAAGCGGCGGGGCGGTCGCGGACCGTCAGCCTGGCCAGCGGCAGCGCTGATCGGCGGGGCGGCCGCGGACCGTCGACCCGACCCCAAGAGGGACGGACAGAGGACCGACGACGGCGACGACGACGACGACGACGGCGACGCCGACGACGACGGCGACGACGACGACGACAGCGACGACGACGACGAGCGAAAGCGGGAGCGAGAGAGAGTTCGACAGTAGGGCCACAGGGACACGAAGTAGGCCACGAAGGGCGACAGCGGGGACACGAAGGGAATGCGTATGGGGCCACGAAGAGCGCGAACGAGGGGGGGCCACGAAGGGCAGGTAATGTGGGGCTACAGAAGGCAACGATGAGGCCACTGAGGGTAGCAACTGGGCCACGTAGGACAGTGAGGGGGGCACAGACGGCGACAGCGGGGCCACGAAGGGCACGCACATGGGGCCACAACGGGTGCGACCGAGCGGGGGCCACGAAGGACATACGCATACTGGGCCGCGGAGGGCAAGGACGGGGCCACTGAGGGCAGCAACGGGGCCACGAAGGGCAGCGAGGGGGCCACGAAGGGCGACAGCGGGGCCACGAAGGGCACGCATATGGGGCCACCGCGGGCGCGAACGAGCGGGGGCCACGAAGGGTATACATATAGGAGGCCACGAAACAAAACGAGGGGGCCACGAAGCAATGCAACGGGGCCACGAAGGGCAGCGAGGGGGCCACGACGGGCTGCAACGGGGCCACGAAGGGCTGCGACGGGGCCACGAAGGGCAGCGAGGGGGCCACGAAAGGCTGCAACGGGACCACGAAACAAAGCGAGGGGCCGCTGATGGCAGCAATGGGGCCACGACGGGCAGCGGGAAGGCCACGAGGGGCTGCAACAGGGCCACGAAGGGCAGCGAGGGGGCCACGGAGGGCTGCAACGGGGCCACGAAGGGCAGCGAGATCCCGATTCCGAGGTAATCTGTGAGGGAGTCTTAAGCGTGAGCGCGAGAGCGCGACTCCAGAGCGCCAGAAGAACGATTCCTGAATAAACTGGAAGGAAGTCCAAAGCGACAGCGCGATTCCTGAATAAAATGCGAGGACGTCTCGGGGAGCGGGGGTCTTGGCTAAATTGCGAGGAAGTCTCGGGCGGAAACCGTTGTTATTGTATCCCGGGGGCCAGGGGCCCAGTTTGAGCCTCAAGATTTTCCGGGATAAAAGAAAACAGAGTGCGAGCGTCGAGGGGCACATTTTGATTGAGAGAAATTCGTATGCACCAGCCGGGGGGGTCAGCAATACTTATTCTTCAACAGTGAGAGTTCAACAACAACAATCATTTTACCCGCATGCGCGATGTTTCCAGACGAAATATGCGACCATCATGATAACCATCCACATCATGGTGGACTCGTGTTCTATAGAAGGGGCCGTTATTCCCATTCCAAGATACCCCGCCCAATGAGGTCTTGCAAACACCTCCTCCGAGGAATTTCAACAGATCCCGCCTCGGAACGCATGACGCGCCTTGCTGCGCCGATGCGAGACCGCCAGTGGAAACCCAGCGAAGGGTAAAGCACAAGGAAGTATCGAACGACAGGATTGCCTCGGTGGGGATGAGGGCTGTCGGCGGTGAGGCAAGGACCTGGCCCTGAATAGAAATGGAGGAAGTCTCGAGCATGGCTGCTGTTGTTGCTGGGAGCGGCGCCAATGCTGAAGAGAGTAGGGCGCTAGTCCATCGTAGAACCCAACGAAGTCTCGAGCGGGAGCGCTGGTGTTGTTGGGACGGCGGCTTTCGGCGGCGAGGGGGATAACCGCCTTGAGTAAGAAGGGGGGAAGCATCGAACGGGAACCGTGGTTTTGTCGGGACGGGGGCTGTCGGCGGCGAGGAACAGTACCGTCCCGAGGAAAATGAGACGAAACCTCGAGCAGGAACGTTGTTCTTGCTGGGAGCGGCGCCAATTCAAAAGAGAGTAGGGCGCCAGTCCAGCGTACAACGGAAGGAAGTCTTGGGCGGGAACGCTGGTTTTGTCGGGACGGCGGTTTTCGGCGGCGAGGAGGAACACCGCCTTGAGTAAGAAGGGAGGAAGCATCGAGCGGGAGCCGTGGTTTTGCCATGACGGGGGTTGTCGGCGGCGAGGAACAGTACCGTCCCGAGGAAAAAGGGAGTAAGCCTCGAGCGGGAACTTTGTTCTTGCTGGGAGCGGCGCCAATTCAAAAGAGAGTAGGGCGCCAGTCCAGCGTAAAACGGAAGGAAGTCTCGGGCAGGAGCGCTGGTTTTGTCGGGGCGGCGGCTTTCGGCGGCGAGGAAGAGCACCGCCTTGAGTTATAAAGGGAGGGATCCTCGAGCGGGACCATTGTTTTTGCTGGGGGCGGCGCCGATGAGAGAAAGACTAGCGCGCCAGTCGAAGGTAAAACGGGAGGAAGTCTCGAGCGGGAGCGTTGGTTTTGTTAGGACGGCGGCTTTCGGCGGCGAGCGAGAACATCAGCCCTGAGCAAAAAAGAAGGAAGTCTCGAGCGGGAGCGTTGTTGTTGTTGTTGCTGTTGCTGTTGCTGTGGCTCTTGCTGTTGCTGTTGTTGTTGTTGCTGTTGCTGTTGCTGCTGCTGTTGCTGTTGCTGTTGTTGTTGTTGTTGTTGGGGGGCCAGTTTGGGCGGTCCCCAAAACCGCTCGAGCGTGAACCTGATTTTCAATGGAAATATAGCCGGCGCCCCGGCGAGGGCGCCAGGGCGCCTGGAAGGGGTCCAACAATAATATTTGTTTAGTATCCAACAGAACAGCAACAATTACTCACTGCGTGGAGCTCCCCATATGTGCATCTCATGTTTATCTTATGCCGTAGTGAGCGTCTGACTATAAGAGCGCGCCCATGCGGGCGACAGGCCCGACGAGCCTGAGACATCTTTGAAATCTGCTGTGGACGCAGACGATGTTGGGCACCGAAACAGGCAAACCGCCTGAGACATCCCCACAATCTGGCCGCGAACGGGCCCGTGATATACCCCCTGGCGGTTCCCCCCTAGGGGTGCTGAAGCCAGCGCCCCGCCTAAGGCATCCTCAAAATCTGCCGTGCGTTGAGTAACTCAGATTATGAGAAGGTCTGATGATGTGTATGTCTAAGTATGAGTAAGTCTGTGTATGAGTACGTCTGGGTATGAATAAGTCTGAGTATGAGTAAGTCTGTGTATGAGTAAGTCTGTGTATGTGTACGTCTGGGTATGAGTAAGTCTGAAACCAGCGCCCCGACTGACACATCCTCCAAATCTGCGGTAATCGCAGACGATGTTGGGCACCGAAACAGGCAAACCGCCTGAGACATCCCCACAAACTGGCCGCGAACGGGCCCCCTGGCGGCTCCCCTTAGGAGTGCTGAAACCAGCGCCCCGCCTGTGACATCCTCCAAATCTGCTGCAATCGCAGACGATGTTGGGCACCGAAGCAGGCAAACCGCCTGAGACATCCCCACAATTTGGCGGCGAACGGGCCCGCGATATACCCCCTGGCGGTCCCCCTTAGGCGTGCTGAAACCACCAGCGCCCCGACTGCGACATCCTCCAAATCTGCTGCAATCGCAGACGATGCTGGGCACCGAAACAGGCAAACCGCCTGAGGCATCCCCACAAACTGGCCGCGAACGGGCCCGTGACATACCCCCTGGCGGCTCCCCTTAGGGGTGCTGAAGCCAGCGCCCCGCCTGAGACATGTTTGAAATCTGCTGTAGACGCAGACGAGGTTGGGCACCGAAGCAGGCAAACCGCCTGAGACATCCCCACAATTTGGCCGCGAACGGGCCCGCGATATACCCCCTGGCGGTCCCCCTTAGGCGTGCTGAAACCACCAGCGCCCCGACTGCGACATCCTCCAAATCTGCTGCAATCGCAGACGATGCTGGGCACCGAAACAGGCAAACCGCCTGAGGCATCCCCACAAACTGGCCGCGAACGGGCCCGTGACATACCCCCTGGCGGCTCCCCTTAGGGGTGCTGAAGCCAGCGCCCCGCCTGAGACATGTTTGAAATCTGCTGTAGACGCAGACGAGGTTGGGCACCGAAGCAGGCAAACCGCCTGAGACATCCCCACAAACTGGCCGCGAACGGGCCCGCGATATACCCCCTGGCGGTTCCCCTTAGGCGTGCTGAAACCACCAGCGCCCCGACTGCGACATCCTCCAAATCTGCTGCAATCGCAGACGATGTTGGGTACCGAAACAAGCAAACCGCCATAGGCATCCTCGCAAACTGGCCGCGAACGGGCCCGTGATATACCCCTTGGCGGCTCCCCTTAGGAGTGCTGAAACCAGCGCCCCGCCTGAGACATGTTTGCAATCTGCTGTAGACGCAGACGAGGTTGGGTACCGAACCAGGCAAACCGCTTGAGACATCCCCACAATCTGGCCGCGAACGGGCCCGTGATATACCCCCTGGCGGCTCCCCCTTAGGGGTGCTGAAGCCAGCGCCCCGCCTGAGGCATCATCAGAATCGGCCGTGCGTTGGGCAAATCAGGTATATGAGAAGGTCTGAGTATGTGTAGGTCTGAGTATGGGTAAATTTGTGTATGAGTACGTCTGGGTATGAGTAAGTCTGAGTATGAGTAAGTATGTGTATGAGTAAGTCTTTGTATGCGTACGTCTGAGTATGAATAAGTCTGAGTACGGGAAGGTCTGAGTATGAGTAAGTCTGAGTATGAGTAAGTATGGGTCTGAATAAGTGTGTGTATGGGTAACTCTGGGTATGAGTAAGTCTGTGTATGAGTACGTCTGGGTATGAGTAAGTCTGAGTATGAATAAGTCTGTGCATGAGTAAGTATGTGTTCTGAGTGTGTATTTGTTCTCTGGAGTCGGTGGCGTCCAAGAAATAACAATAACCCCATCTTAGGATATGGGGACAACAACTACACTCATGTTGAGACTGTTCGCTTTTAGCTGCTCGAGTGTCCGTTAACGCGTATTTCCCAAACCCTCAATATCCGCCCTTTCCTTCTTCGATCGTACCCTTTTTGGGGGGGTAGACCTTTCTTCCCTGCAGGCCGGGCCCTGGCAAGCGGCGGGGCGGCCGCGGACCGTCGGCCTGGCAAGCGGCAGCGCTGATCGGCGGCAACCTGACCCCAAGAGGGACTGACAGGAGACCGACCACGACGACGACGACGTCGACGACGACGTCGACGACGACGACGACGGCGACGACGGCGGCGACGACGACGACGAGCGAAACCGAAAACGAGAGAGAGAGAGAGAGAGAACGACAGCACGGCCACGAAGGGCACGAAGTAGACCATGAAGGGCGACAGCGGGGCCACGAAAGGCATGCACATGGGGCCACGACGGGCGCGAGCGAGCGGGGGTCACGAAGGGCAGATAATGCAGGGCCACAGAAGGCAACGACGGGGCCACTGAGGGTAGCAACTGGGCCACGTAGGACAGCGAGGGGGCCACGAAGGGCGACAGCGGGGCCACGAAAGGCATGCACATGGGGCCACGACGGGCGCGAACGAGCGGGGGCCACGAAGGGCATGCGTATATTGGGCCGCGGAAGGCAAGGACAGGACCACTGAGGGCAGCAACGGGGTCACGAAGGGCAGCGAGGGGGCCGCGAAGGGCGACAGCGGGGCCATGAAGGGCATGCATATGGGGCCACGACGGGCGCGAACGAGCGGGGGCCACGAAGGGCATACATACATGGGGCCACGAAAGGCAGCGAGGGGGCTACGACGGGCTGCAACGGGGATACGAATGGCAGCGAGGAGGCCGCGAAGGGTTGCAACGGGGCCACGAAGGGCAGCGAGGGGGCCACAACGGGTTGCTAAGGGGCCACGAAGGGCAGCAAGGGGGCCACGAAGGGCAGCAACGGGGCCACCAAGGGCAGCGAGGGGGCCACGAAGGGGTGCAACGAGGCTACGAAGGGCAGCGAGGGAGCCACGAAGGGCAGCAACGGGGCCACGAAGGGCAGCGAGGGGGCCACGAAGGGCAGCGAGGGGGCCACGAAG